TATATTTCAACTTTACTAGCACTTGATGCAATTTATGTAAACTAAAGCATTTTGCATTTTCCAGATTTTCTTCCTACTAGTTTTCTTTGCCTATTTTTTTCCTGACCTAGCAGGATGTTGGAAAAAGATAATGTAAATGTCTTTCAGCAAAATAACTCTTTCTAAACCAAACTGGGCTAGGTTTAGTATGGGGAAGAAAATGGCAAAAGGAAGATTAACTTAATAAATGTTCCACATTCAACTGAAGACTTTGGAAAAAATAAATCTCTTTCCCCAGTACAACCCTGTTGTTAGTTAGTAGCTCAGAAGTTTGATGACTACTTGCTTCTAAGTCCCCTCCTTCTCATCGTAGGCACAAAGCCTGGCTACTTCTAATGTGTTAGAAAAATTCCAGACACCATGTTCTGTATTCTTTCTATTGCTTATTAGATAATGAAACAGTTGATTTCAGTTTATAACTAATTTGAAAATGGCCTGAAAAAGCTTAGGAAAACTCATTGCTACCAGCACATTCTGTATGAACACACACGAAGTAGAATGATAGATTTTGTGAACCTCACATATTTAAGCTAATAATGGCAAATAAACATGATTCATTAGGTGCCAAAAAGCTAATGTCTTAGTGACCATATAGACAGAGTTCCTGCAGAACAAATATTTGAATGCATTATATAAATAAAACCATACAAATTGTTATAATTGATTTTAGAAGTAGCACTACTGCCACAATGCAATATTATTTATTTATTTATTATTTATTACATTGCATTGTGGCAATAAATATTGCATATTTATTATTTATTAGTCATATTTCTATGCTGCCCACTCTCTGAGGACTTTGGGCGGCTTACACCAAAGACAGTATACTAAACAGCATATTGCCCCCTAACAATCTGGGTCCTCATTTTACCCACCTCGGAAGGATGGAAGGCTGAGTCAACCTTGAGCCGGTGAGATTTGATCCGCTGATCTGCTGAACTAGCAGTCAGCTGTAGTAGCTGCAGTACAGCACTCTAACCACTGCACCAATTTTATATGTAGATACAAACCAAAATACTTTCTCACACAATATTAGAACTTGGGTTTTTTCCTCCCTACATTGCTACCATTGTGAGGGTGGAATGGGAGATTCATGACTGATAAAAGTACAGGGTTCCTTATAAAGTATGCTGCTAAATTATGGATTTGCTAATATCTATTGAAATGATGACTGCTAACTCATTTTTAATATAAATTTTATTAAAACTTTTAAGAAGATAAAAGTGAACAAAAACTAATACAGAATAAAGAAAGCAGAAAAAGAGAATAATACAAAAGTGCAAAAAAGTTAAAAAAAAATAGAAATAAGAAGCTTCCAGTTCCCTTTTCAGCAAATACAAGTATGATTTACGAAGTTATCTCTTATTCTATGATTACAAAAAGCTCTCTTTTTGCTGTTATTTATTTATTTTTCTGATTACCAAAATGATGGCTAATAATTCTGATGATTTTGCAAATGACTTGATGAATTCATGAATGATAAGACCACAGCAGCTATGACTCTTGATGACTATATTTAGCCTCCTTAGATAGACAGAAATACCAGTTACTAAAAAAAATGAAAAACAATTCTCATGCCCTCCTTATAGTTTCTAAGAAGGAGCTGCCAGGTTGTAAGATAGATAGGCAGATGCAGCTAGGTTTGACTAATATTCTTAGTACTTTCTGCAGTTAGACACATTATACCAGAGGTGGGATTCATTTACCTTCCCTACCGGTTCGCAAATGTGAGTGCATGTGCCACTTCTGTGCATGCGCACAGCTTTTTGCGCATGTGCAGTAGTTGCGCATTACATCTGGTGGATGTGCGGAGCCTCCCGCAGTCGCTGCTACCGGTTCGTGCAATCCGGAGAGAACTGGCTGAATTCCACCACTGCATTATACTAGTATTCCCGATGTTTGGAGCAATTCTGCAAATCTCATTTATTTCCATTTAGAAGTGAATCCCACTGAAATTAATAAGAATTATTTTCAGATATGTTTAAGAGTGTAGCCCAAATATTCCCTGGCATATTGTGTTTATCACACTACATGGGCTGAAATCAGTGCCAGTAGTAATAGCATTAAAGACTAAAACATGGGCCTAACTGAAGCAATCATAGGCTAACTAGTTTTAGGCTGTATCATTAAGGATCATGAGAACAACTTCTAATTAGGTAGGGAACAAGCCAGTGGTGAAATCCAGCGGGTTCTGATAGGTTCTGGAGAACCGGTAGCAGAAATTTTGAGTAGTTCAGAGAACTGGTAAATACTATCTTTGGCTGGCCTCAGAGTGGAGTGGGAATGGAGATTTTGCAATATCCTTCCCCTGGAGTGGGGAGAGAATGGGGATTTTGCAGTATTCTTCCCCTAGAGTGGGATGGGAATGGAGATTTTGCAGTATCCTTCTCCTGCGACGCCCACAAAGCCACACCCACCAAGCCACACCACACTACGTCCACCAAGCCATGCCCACAGAACTGGTAGTAAAAAAAATTGGATTTCACCAGTGGAACAACCAACTAACTTTGGAATCAAACCCATATTTTTGGGTAGTGCCCCTTATTACCTGCCATTGTTTAAAATTATGTGAGAGAGTCCCAGCTGCTGGGTCCAACATCCAGCATTAACTGTTTTCCCTCTGTTGCTAACTCTGGAAAAACAAAATTCATCACTATATCTAACTTAAGTAAAACTATACATTCTATAACTCTTTTTTTGAAACTTAGAACACCTATTGTCTAATTTCTCTGGAAACATTTTGGAACCAGAATGTTGTTGCTGAATCATTCTGCTTTAAAGACTTTACAGTAAATCCCAAAATTTATAAAGATGCTGTATAGTGGCAACCCGAAAAAGAATAATATTGCATTAACATCTCTACTGTTGTCAGCAATTTTGTGAGTAAAGCTTTACCACACAAAACAGAAGTTGTTATCTATCTCCTACATTATCATACCTGAGATATTAAACTGTTTCTTTTGTTTGCCATCAGGCTTGAACTGAGGACTCCTAATATGATGTTACTGTATCAGCTAAAATAATATTTTTCTTTGAGAGCCTGTTTTGCTGAGTTACTTTAAAACAAATAATAAATGAAAGTAACTAGTAGAAAAATGAAGTAGAGGATGAATATGATGAGGTGTAATAGAGATAGAACTCAAAGTAAATTAAATAGATATTTCATACTCATTCTTTTCATTTTCTGAAGCTTAAATCTCTCATTTCCTTGCTTAAAATTCTGAAGACAATGATATTTTAGTGTAATTCCAAACCTTCTTGCCCAATCAATATAGGGATGAAGGAATCATATCAATATTGGATTATTTGGGGGCATATACAAAATTTATATTTATAATATTGATGCAGAATAATGAGTAAAATTTTGTTAGAACTCTTACCCTGGCAAAATATGAAAATTACAATAATATATGCAAAAACTAAAGAACATCTATGCTTTAATTTGCCACTTGTATCACTTAGGGCTGCTACAATCCCAATTTCTATACCCTTTTCTTTTATAATGTGACATTTTCTTGTTCTTATCTACAGTATTCTTAGTAATGGCATCTGCCTATGACTTTGATTCCTTTGAAAATGAGATTTGTGATGCCTAGAACTGATGGAAATATGCATGCTAGTTCACTTGCCATCCCATCACTAAAGTGAAAAACAAAAGCAATGAATTAGTTTAAAAGCGATGAAAAAAATATCACGACTTTATTGGTGGAACTATAGAAAAAAGGTGCATAGTGGTTTAGGCTTAGGTCTTAGGTCTTTTGGCTTAGGTCTTTGCAGAATTCAGCCTTATTCTCCAAAGATGCAGTCTAGGAATTGCTCTCATAGGAATTGAGGTGTTTAACTAACTAACTTAATAAAATAAAGTGCCTTCTGGCCATTGGCCCAAAGTAGGTCATGACCCACAACCTACAGATCATCTATTCTCCAGGAGCAGGGTGATGCCTGATTTCCATCAGGCAATCAGTCTTAATTAAGTCTGAGATGAATTATTGTCACTTTCCAATAGTGATTATTTAATAATTACAATCCAGTTAAGCAAGTAGTATTTCCCCACATTGCTTAACTCAATACAATATGGAAATAATGAAACACAATTTCAGATTAGGTTCAATCAGCTAGAAGACAATATCCACTTGGGAACACTATCAGTGTGTATCTATTAATAGGGCTGAAGGAAGAGTACATACAAAAGTATTGGATACACCCACTCTTCTCAATAGATGCAAAGCCTGTGCTGGCCTTGGGATAGACTCCAAAAAGTTCATTATAGAACCCGTTTTAATTACTCAACAGGCATTCACATAGACCTCTATTTCCTGAGTGTTTTGGAAGCAAACTTGTATGTGATCAGCAAGCTTCATGAAGAAACTGAAACCTTTGACACCGAGTGGATAGTAAGAATAGAGTTCTACACTTCACAGTTTCTAGTATTTTGGTTCATGAGCACTAGTCATATTTTCCTCTTTTTTTGAACCTCTGGAGAATATAACAAATATATGAAGTGGCAACCCATCCCGCCTAAAAGTTCCTTTAAAGTGCCATATAATTTTATATGGACTAAATTTAGAAAAATAATTCGGGAGAAAGCAGAGCTGAAAAAAGGAGAAATTGGCAACAGAGTATAGTTAGATCTTATACATCAGGTCTGATTTCCCACTATTGTCAATATTGGACTATTCAGTTTGGAGGCATCAAAGAACTTGTGCTGTTCTAGGTGATTTTATGTCTCAGTTGACATGAATAGATCCAATATACAGACATCTAGTACTAGACATTTAGTACTATACTATACTACTATTGTATTACTATACAATAAATACTATACCTATTTATTGATTATCATCCTTACTTGAAATACTGCAAAGCATAGACTAATCTCTACATTATTCTATAAATTTTTTTTAAAAGAAGACAAAAGATGGATAGTTGAAGCTATATTATTCATTTGGAAAAGTACTTACCTACCAATTTATTTTCTGGGAAAATAATGGCTATTTTGAAAACAGTTTTTACTGTAGGCATCTCTTGCTTCTTACAGCAACTGTTTTAGCAACTATATTTTCTGCTGGATTTGCAGCAATTAATCACTTTCTCAAATCTATCATGAGAGTGGTCTTTTTTTGTTGAAGCAAACTGTTATGGCGAGTTACAGTGTGATCCTCTATTTAATTGTCATAATGAACCAATGACAAAATGTGGCATCATAATGAAAGCCTTATCCTTTTCTGCTTCTGTCCCAACATTGGGGCATAAGGAAATCAACTGGGATGTGTTGTGAATTAAAACTCATGTTTCATCAATTCCATGCACCCAAACCTCCTGTTAGTTTCCTAATACCCTTATACTTGGTAACTTTGTACAGTAAAGCCTATTGCAAGGAGAATGGAAGCAGCAGCAGATGTGAATCCTAATTAATTTAAAAATGTAACCAGTTCTCAGGTCATGATTTTTGATATGGGAATAGTGATATTCAAGAGAAGGCTTCTTCAACATGGGTGTTATTCTTATATGTGAATGTCGTAACTAAGAATTTCCAGTTCATCCAGGTTGGGGAAAATCTGTCCAAGAGGTCTTATTTTTGAAATAAAAATTATTAGAAGGCAAGAAATCAACAGATTCATTTATATCAGTAGTAGCTATTAGAAGTCAGGGACACTGTGGCCTTTTCTTCCCTGTCAGTCAACTAATTCTAATATATAACCATGAATGGGCAGTAACAACAAGAGAAGTTAATGAAAAAGAAAGCACAGCTGTTTTGTGGTCCAGCAAGTGTGTTGCTGCCTGGTGGAAGTGGCTTCCCCATTAATATTAAAACACAATAGTGTTTTGATGCTTACAAGATTTGCTGTCCCCCTCCTTTATGAGTTAAACTTTTTCCCCAAAATAACTGCTATATTACAAGATATTATGATTTTGTGGCTTATGCCAATGTGTAAGCAGCAGCAAAAGAGATTCACTTCAGTGGGGTAATCCAAGTTTTATAGGAATACAGATAGCAATAGACCTTAAATTTATATACCACCTCACAGTGCTTTATAACACTCTCCTAGTGGTTTACACTAGGATATTACAATAGAATATTGTAATCTGGGTCTTCATTTTACTGAGTCTTCATTTTACTGACCTTGGAAGAATGGAAGGCTGAATAAACTTTGAGAGAGATCAAATTCCTGGCAGTGGGCAGAGTTAGCCTGCAATACTGCATTCCAACCACTATGTCATCATAACTCCAGGTTCAATTGAGATGTTTCTGAGCAGAATTCAGGAAGTGATCTCAAAAACTGAGAAATTATCTGCCTGTTAGTATGATTAGAAGTAGACAGCATGGTACCCTTCAGATGTTTTGGACTTCAGTTCCCATAAACCTTACTGTTGGCTGTTGGGACTGATAATCCAAAACATGGGAAATATAAAATTGTCTTATCCTGTTGTAGGGAATACAAAGCTAGATAGGTCAGTAACTTGTTATCAAATAAGGTAACTTTCAATAATGTTCCAATAGTGAATGAGAAATTCCAAACAGAAGTAATATAAATATAGAAGAAATTATATTTTATTATTTTAAGTTGCCATAAAATATAATTTTTCTACATTTGTTTTAACTGCAGCACATAACAATACTAAAATAGTAGATATTTGAGTTTGATAACCAATAGGAATGAAAGCCAAGTACATTGGATCCAGATACTGACGTTTTCATTCTGGTTACTGCTGATTAATTAAACATTTTAGAGGAATTTGATTTTCTGGGAATTGGGTTCACATAATAAACTGAGCAATGGCTTGCTTAATTATGATTTATGAAACAAATGACAATTGGTTGAATTAAAAAAAAGCATTTGTAAACATCAACCATGGTTTATAAATCACAGAGATTCAACTAAGCCAAAACCAAACCATTTTGGCTTTGCATACTGTACAAACCATATGGCTTTTTCAGTTTCGCATACTGCTTGTTAACACACTTGTTAATGTTTTCCAATGAGAAACAATTTGGTTCTGTATGTATTTTATAGCTCTTCATTTTGAAAGCATTGAAAGCATTTAAATATGTGCTTAGTCTTTTCATTTCAACTCTGGCTCACCTTTAACCAATAAACTTGTGCCCTTCTCAAGTTTGATATCTTACTGGGTTTTCACTTGAGGTGCCTTTGCATATGAGTGCCGAGAATTTTGTGTCCCTTTAAAGCAGTAAGTGACTACTCAGGATTAAGAGAATGACTTGTGCTTACCGTATTAGCCCTCTTCTCCCCTCCTCAAAAGTGACAGGAACCTATTTACAATTGATTTACAGCAGTGCACCATCTGTGAACTGAGCCAATTCATCTTGCCAGAATAAAAATATTCAGAAGCTGACAATGAATGAATATCCATGGCAAGCTTTTTATTCCCAGAGACTGTTGGAAAGCAAATGATCAGTATAAAAGTACCAGAAAAATCATGGAAACAAGCAAAAGAAACTAATTGAAATGATTTACCACTTTTTTAAAGGTTTCCACACACCAACTACTGTTATTTAACTTGATAGAAAATAGATCATTCTCTAACTTAATTTTAAGGATTAAAATTCCCATATTTAGGTTGTGGGACCTGCCCTTTCTTTAGTTAAGTGCAAGGCCAATAATATTCCTTCCTGAATTATCTAGTCATCTCACTAGAACTCTGCAGTCTTTTCCCCCCTCTTTATATTTGAATTCGATTTAAAACATGAAACTCACGAAGGAACTATTCTACAACACTTTCTCAGATTGTGGGCAGATAGAGAATGATAATGTAACCAAGTCAAAACTAGCACACAGATATTCCAAAATATTTTAACTTTGGAACCTTCTGTGCCTAGATTTGAGACAATTCAAGATACCATTCTAATTTCCCTTTTGTATTGAATTGTCAGCATTTCCCTTACTGTAGATGGGAAAAAGGTTCATTATTGGTGCCTGATAGTTACCAGTGCTGTAGTGCAGGGACTGAGCCTATTTTAAACCAAATCCCCAAATTTGCTACTACTAAATTATAAAGCTTGAGTACTATGTGGATTAGATCCCCATATGATATAGAGTTGTGAGCTTCTCTGGAACAGTCAGTAGTTCATTTTCTGTTAAGGCAGAAGCTGGCTACATTTCCACTTCTCTAGCAACCCATTTGCTGCTACTGGAGGCCACTCAGATTAAGCATGTCTGAAATATTTACCCCATTTTTGTTTGTAGAAAGCGAAGAGTATTGGTGAAGGATGAAAGGATGAAACAGGTATCTTTATCCTCACTGTGCTCCCTAAAAATCTTGTCCCACTGTCAAGTTAGGTCTATTTTCTTCATTTTAGGATGGATGCTAAATGGCAAAGGCAGCCTTCACTCCTGCCAGCTACATGGATAAGTCTATGCCATTTTCTAGGCAATATGTCAAAAGGATTTGCCAACTTCCTAGAGTTACCCAGCTGGACTAGATACCCAGCTGGACTAGAACCCATAGTCTGGTACGTATTTCTCAAAGGCTTTCATGCCACAAAATAGGAACTTTAAATCTCTGGTAAAGTAAATTTTGCTTCTTATAGTGCCAAAATAGCCAAAAGGTTGATCTCTCCCATTCATGTGACATAGTACATACAGTCCCCAGGCAGAGAGAAGCAATAGCTAAGATGTTGCCACCCCTATCAGGAGGAATACAATACATTTTCTCAGAACTGTGACTATCAACAAGGCATTAATAAGGCATTAATGAAAGATGAGATTAAATTAATTAGAATCCCCATAGATGATTGTACACGCATTTATTTAATCAAGAATATTTATTAACAAACACGACTATAGAATTACAGTCATGGAAATCAAAAGAGTGACATTATTATAGCATCCTGGGATAGTATTAATATCTTACTTGTTGTATCTTATATAACTATCAAAGCCCTACAACAGCATTTCTCAACTCCAGCAGCTTTAAGGTGTGTGGATTTCAGCTGAATGGGGAAGTCTGAGAGTAGAAGTCCACATATCCTAAAGTTGGTGAGATTGAGAAACACTGCTTTATAGGAAAAAGGCGTCAGAAATAAAAGGCTTCCTTAATGAAAATATGTAATATGGAATCAGTGAGCATAGTTTCTCATTAATATAAGGCTAAGAATCTACAATCAATGATGTGGTTTCCCTTTGCCAAAATGCAGTCAGCATCAAGAAGAAAATTTATTTTTATTTCTGTGACACAAGAATGGAATGCTATACAAGCAGTGCAGTAGAATTTTTGCATGGTGGAGTAAATAATAATATAGACACACTGCATATCTAATGCTGGAAGCCATACCAAAAGTGTATTTTTCCCCCTATGGGAGGCACTTACCATAATTAAAGCACTGTTTGTGTGCTGATCACTTTTTATGATCACTGAAATATATGTGGCTGGTTTTAAAAACACTGAAGTTATACTGCTCATATTACAAATTCTGCCAAAATCTATGAGGCCAAAAAAGGGGGGAGGGGAAGTAGCATATGATTGTGGTTTGCTATGTCTGGTGATTGTGATAATGATTTACATTTGTGCTTGTCACACACACAGCAGTTTTCAAGATTTCGCTTCCTGGAATAAATAAGAAACAGCTGCGTTCTCTGTTTTGTATGGTAACTGTTGGAAGATATTGATTTTCTAAATAACAGCAGTTTGATGTCTTTTATCCCTTTTATTCATTTAAAACCTTACCAGCTGTCATTTATTAACACCCGCCCACCCACCAAGCTCTGGTAATTTTGACCTCAGTCTTTAGACTTTTTTTTTTTTAAAATCCAGTAGTTGGACAGTTTCAAATATTTCATTTCAAAGCTATTTAATCCTTCAGTTTAAATATATGATATCTAGTTTAAACAAAACTATTTCACTTTGCAACTTGTCAATAAGTCAGAATTCTTAATAATAGAATGATATTATTCCTAGCTGAAAATTACAGATATGGTATGCAAACTTTCTTGATGTTTGGCCTAAATCTTGTTTCTCTAGGGTAAAAACATGCATCCACATCTTATCCATACCCTTTAGCCAAAGTGAACAAAGAGAAAGACCACTGTAACGTTAGAAACAAAGTTTAC